CGGGAGGATCAGGGCAACGCTCTTCCTGCCCCCCGGTGAGTACCGGCTGTAGCTGTGCTTTTTTTTCAAAAGTATTGTGTTTGTCAGGGCAAGCTATCTCATGACCTACATAAAGAGGAGCCCATGAAAGCTCCATCCCTCTTTTCCTCTCTACCGTCCCACTGACCCATTTGACTATCATTTACATTCACCCAGGCACTTGAATGCTGGAACAAGGTTACAGAAACAGGCAAAGAAATTATTCTTTCCAAAAGCCAGGTGGTATAAATGTGGAGGAACACACAAGCAAGCAATGAGTGTGCCAGTAGGTGTCTGGAGCCGAGAGGCTGAGATAAAGAGCTGTGCAGAGAGTCTATATGCCAGTCCTGCCTTGTTGCCCAGAGCTGGCTCCACATAAAAACCCTGGGAGTCCTCCTCCTGGAGGGGACTCCAGAACTTTCATGGAGAAGAAATCTTTCCAGCAGAAAAAGACAAACATTGAATAGCTTTAGTAAAGGATTTCCTTTTGGAGGTGTATGACTTGCTCAAGACACCACCAGGTTTCAGTATGTGCTGGGCTGCTAAACAGAGACCTCCTTGCCAGAGTCCAGGGTGTGCTGACTTCTCACCCTCAGCATCCCCCTTGGAGGTGAGGCCAGGGCTCCTCCCCCTGCCTGCTGACCAGGAGATGAAGAAAGCTGCTTGCATACATTTTGTTTCCAAACTGTCCTGCTTCCCTTCACTCATGCTGCTTTACGGTAAGCTGGCTTGTTTTCTCAGTGTCCCCAGGCCTGCTCCTTCAAACAGTGTGTGCTTTAAAATTACAAACCTTTGCCAGTCCCTGTTTCTTTGAAATGTTTCCTAGGCATAGAATAGAAGGATTTTATTTTCATCCTGCAGCCATTTAGGAGTTGGCTACCACTTAGCAAACAACTTAAAGTCTAAAAGTGGAGAGTCCAAATGGCTTTTGCTACAACACTGTCCCACCTCCGTTGAGTATCCCCACAGACCTTTTCTGTATTAGGACCTTTTCTGTGCATGTTCAGGGTAAGCCAACAGTGTTGTGCTACACTCAGCTGAGCCTTGGGTCACAGGCAACTGCATCCTGCTCTCTGCAGTACACGGCCACTGCTTTGAATGCTCACAATCTATGTAAAGCCAGTAGATGTGCTGTCATTTGCATGCAAACAGCACAGGAAGAGCAATGGAAGAGGTCTTTTTAGCAGCCAACACTGAATTGCTGAGTGATTTGTCATGTCCTTTCCCCTAAAAACAGTCTTCTGCAGTTCCTGTTGTGCATCTGATTTTATGTGTTCTAAATCAGAGAAACATTTAAAGGACTAATTTCATGTGATACTGCTCTTGTCTGCTGCAGGACAAGCCCCCTTTCCAGGAGTCATCAACATAGATGGAGTTGGAGGAGGCCTTTGTGAGCATAGAGCCAGCTTGCTGGCCAATCACGGCTTTGCCACACTGGCCCTGGCTTATTACCAATATGAGGATCTGATCCAGAAGCCAACCAAACTCCATCTGGAATATTTTGAAGAGGCAGTGAACTACATGCTGCAGCACACACAGGTAGTAGCATGCTCCCTGCCCTCTGGCATCCAGAGAATGCTTCTTCTCTGGGGTGCCTATCCCCTCGCCAGAGTTATCACTGGGGGAAGCTGCTGGATGCTTGTGCAACCCCATGGCTGGCATCTGCAGGGTGTCTGAGCTCGGGAAGGGAGGAAGGACTAAACAGACATGCACTGGAAGGGTGGTGGAAAGAGATAAAGCACACTCAAAAGAGACAGCTGAGACATAATGAAGTAGAAAGGCTCAAGCAGGAGAGCCTTCATGAATCACCACCCTTCTTCCTTCTCCTTCAGGGCAGGTGTTTAGCACTTGTCCAGCAGAAAAACTAATCATCCTCCTCTGTACTGTTATGTAAACTCTTGACATTACACAACATCCCCTTCCAGTAATTAGCTGTTGTGTTTTTCAGCTCAATACTGATGGGGCTTTCCTCCTATCCACCAGGTAAAGGGACCAGGGATTGGCCTGCTCGGTTACTCCAAAGGAGGTGATCTGTCTCTCGCCATGGCTGCCTTCCTGAAGAATATCACAGCAGTAGCTTCCATTAATGGCCCTGTGGCCATTACAGTTTTTCCTCTCTGCTACAAAGATAAAACTATTCCCGCTTTGATTTATGATGAAAACCTTGTGAAGGTTTATGATAAGAATATCCTTGATTATTCTGATATTACTGATGACCCCTTTAAAGCCCCTGGCAACCAAAGCCTGATCCCAATAGAGAATGCTGAGGCACACTTACTATTAATTGCTGGACAAGATGATCATATTATCAACAGTAAGTATTATGTCACTGAAGCCCGCAAATATTTGCAGGCTCGAGGGAAGGAAAATGTTCAGACACTCATTTATCCCGGAGCAGGGCACTGCATTGACCCTCCCTTTTCCCCTTTTTATCCAATAGGAAACCACCCAGTTTTTCACAAACGAGCTGTCCTGGGTGGAGAGCTCACAGCTTACTCTAAGGCACAGGTTCATGCTTGGCTACAGATACGGGCTTTTTTCCACAAACATTTAAATGACAAGTGATGCATGTACAAGAAATGCACAACTCTGAACAAACATCTGATGAATTATTTTAAAATTATCAGGTCAACTCCCTTTCCCAGCTGTACCAATACAGCTACAGTGCCTTTGGTGACTTTGCACAACCATAACTCAGAAAAGAATTGGTTTTCATTTTCTGTTTTACATTTTTGGTCAAGTGTCAAGAAAAGGAAGGGAGAATAGGAAAAATATTCAGTTATTTTTCTCATTTGTTTTCTATTTTTATATTTGCTTTTCACATTACTGTGGCCTCCACGTGCATATGCTATTCACAACTCATACTTCAAAGCAAAACCTTTCAAACAATAATTTTGGTGCATGGACTTTACTACTGTTATGGTAAAAATCATAGATGAAAATGCTTCTGAACTCCAAGACACTGGAATGTGCAATAATGGATGTTACGGCAAGAATGTCATGGTCTCTCTGGTTAGCCCTCTGGAAGGGTTGTTTGTCTTCTGTTTCCATTTCCCCTTCAGAAGAAAGTGCTTTGCTTCATGTATACTTCCAGCTCTAACATGTCATGCAAAAACCCAAATTTACAAGCATTGTGATCTTCTCCCATAAAATGTGGAAACTTTTCAGCTTTGTTATTAGAGCTGGTTGAGGTCAGACTAATGAGGGAACAGAGCTAGAGCAGCTCATACAGGAACCAAAGGCGTGAAGGGATCTTTCCGCTGAGTCATGAGACTCCGAGTGGACCCCTTTGCTTTCTATACTCCTTTTGATGGCCTAGGTGTAGCTACATCCACTCTTACTCTTCGTCAGTGGTTCACATCTTAACAGAGTTTCTCTCATCCACCCATTGACAACTAACCAGACAGTCACAAATAATTGCAGACAAATTAAAATTAATTCTCCAAACAATTAAGACTTTACATTTACCTCAACAAATAACATCTTCCTACCAAATTTGTCAGTTTACTTGTCAGTTTACATTTACTTTATCGGGTTTTCAGGTTCTGGACTGACTTGTATTTGAAGTCAAAGTGGTAATGTCAGAATACAGCAAAGAGCCTGCAAACAATCCTCACTGATAATCCCAATAGGGAGTGCTTTTTCAAGTGCTTTTTTTAGGGTGGCACCTGGAATCCTGAGGAGACAGGCTGTAATTCCTTCAAGCTGTAGCACCAAATGGGCTATCTGAGTCATGGCACCGTGACTGCCAGAGAATATGGAGACCCCAAGTGTGTAGTAGCCCAAGTACAACTTAACATGGATCAGAAGAAGCCTTATTGACTACAGTCACAGTTAGAAAACATTGGGGCAGCATCAGCCCATCTGCTCCCCTCCTCTGTCAGATGTCTGTAGAGACCTCTCTTAAGTACTGTTTCAAATAAAGGAAAGAGGTGTGGAAAATCCTTCTAATGTTAGCAAAGCCAGTTGTATATTCTTGGGAAAAACAAATTCTAGACAACTATGAATACGTCTGAAAGGCCAAATCCCTCCATGCCTAGGAGGGATGCAGTCCTTAAGGAGCTTGTTAGCAGCCACAGCTGACAAAACAGAGAGGGCTCTCTGATAGCCCTGTAGGAGAGGCACAGCAGTATTAGCTGAGCTCACAAGTGGAGGTAGCAGTGGGCACTAGAAATGATCACACACTGCTAGCTTTTGCTTGGATAAAATTCTCAGCCATTCCTTTCAAATCTTGCGTATTTTACCACTGCACTCAACTGCTCTAGCTCCGTTGCCAAATTAGTCTGACCTCAATTAGAACGGCCAGATCAAGCAGAGTGTGACTTTAGCAAACCCCTACTGTGGGTATCTCCTTCCTTGGCTCATACCCACTGAACAAGCCATATCAGTGTGGATAAAATGAGAGCAGACACTCAAGTCTCAGGTGGGAGATGAAATGCATTGGTCTTGGTGGGACTGAAATGCAGGCTGAGACCCTGGGAGGGCTGTCATCTCAATCACTGTGATTAAAATTTGGGCTGAGATTTGAACAGCAAATCAACATCTTTATATAAAAATAAGTCTTACATGTAAATAGAAGGTACCTTTAAAATCACAGGCTGACAAAAGTCATTTTGGTGAGGATAATACATAGGCTTGGATACCCTGAAATTTGACCTTACGGCATGTGTGTGTGTGAGACTGAGTACAGGTGGGCACTGGATTGTCCAAAGCGAGGGAGGTTGCCCTTAATGGTGGCCCAGCCCGGTTTATATACAAAGATTACTCTACTAAAATTGGCAAGGTTGTTGGTCTTTTTGTTTGTTTTGTTTTCGTAATGAAACAGCTACACCTGGGATGATGTCCATCAAAAGTTTCCCTTTGAGACTTTCAAATTTGATAACAGATGGGAGGAAAAAAAAACAGGAAAAAAAAAGTGAAAGCAAGATAGCACACACTCAGTGTGATGCTTTTTTTAGTTGATAAGATGATGCAGCTGAACAGTGCACTGAATCACAGAACTCAGAGCTTAGAAGACTCCCAGGAAAAGCTAAGACAATAAAAATTTAAAATCAGAATTGCTTGATTAACAAACAAAATCATCTCAACATTGATATACTTCTGTCACATGTACTGCTGCTCCTGTACAGCTATATGTTGTGGATGGCCTTATCATCCACTTATTATGTTGTGGATGACCTTTAATACCCTAAATCTTTAGGCTATTTTTCTCATCTAGCCCTCCTCATATCTTCCAGATAACCTGGATGAGCAGGTGAGGAAATCGAGTCCACTACTAGCTCTATAAACAAACCCTATTTGAATTTCCCTGTTGCAGAGGAAATTGTAACTTATCTCCTTGGTACCGGGACTTCTTGCTCCATTTCACATGCCTCTGACTTTCTGCACATTGCCTTGTCTTCTGAAGGTATGGGTACTTCAGGATAATCCACCCCACCTCCTGTAACAACTTCCCTATGTGCTTCACACGGTCCTATTTCTGATTATTCTGTTTTTCTTTTAAGCCCTACTGCTCCACTTCACTTGTCAAGCAAAGATTTCTCATTTAAACTAGGATGTGCCATTATTATCACCCTGACTGAATGTTTACTGATGTTTCACCAGTGCATCAGGAAGAATTCATCTCTCTATGCATAGACACCTATCTCTCCAGACCCCTCTTTTCTTCAGGACATCTTAGTGCAAGTGTCTTCCCAGATTTGTCTTCTCACACTAATGAAGCAGGTCGCATGCTAAGTTATGAACCTCATACTCAAATAGGGAAACGCCTCTCCTGTGTGTTCCTCATCATCCTATCTCAAAGAAAGCTGAGGAAGGTATCTGACTGGTAACTGATTCCCTGCTGCAGCCCCTATGGATGGTGAACCTTGTGACCATCTTTCATTGAACAGCTCCTTTATCCCATGTCCTGATCTCCAGAATGTACCCTTGCTCAATCCAGATCTTATCTTTTCTGTAGATGGCTCTTGCCTTTGTGACTCAAGTGGAAAACTTGCTTCCAGATATGCTGTCTGTGATGCATGATATATTGCAGTATATTTCCTCTGTACAAACTGCTAAACTTGTTCTTATCTGTGCCTGTGTTATGGCACATAGCCAATCTGCAGCTATGTTCACCAACTCCTGCCTTGTGTTTGGTGTTGCGTATCATTTTGGTCAGCTCTGAAAACAACATGCTTTTCTTATGTCAGCAGGTTCCCATGTGAAGGATAGATGTTATGTATGTGGATGCTCTTTTACAAGCCTTTCTACTGTCTTCTTTAGCTATTGTTTTAAATGTCAGTCTGCCATAACTCTATTCCACCCATTCCATTTGGCTGGAATAGAGTTAATTTTCTTTATAGTAGCTGGTACCACATTGTGTGTGCATCATGGTTTTGTGATTTTTTCTTATCAGTATTCCACATCATAACATCATGTAGAGCACCGGGAGTTGGGAGGGAAGATTTAGGTTGGATGTCAGGGGGAAGTTCTTTACAGAGAGAGTGGAGAGGTGCTGGAACAGGCTGCCCAGAGAGGTTGTGGATGCCCCATGCCTGGAGGTGTTCAAGGCCAGACTGGATGGGGCCCTGGGCTGCCTGGTCTAGTATTAAATGTAGAGGTTGGTGGCCCTGCCTGTGGCACAGGGGTTGGAGATTCATGATCCTTGAGGTCCATTCCAACCCTGACCGTTCTGTGATACTGTGAGTTAAAGTGTTAACGCTCAAGTTCCGGGCATCTGTCTGGAAGAGAAGAAGAGCTACATACCCCAGGGGGCTTTGCAGTCATAGAAGAGATCTAACCCCTGGCAAGGTCACCTGATGTGCTCTTCTTCACCTCCCCGCTGCTCAACTGGACTGCACATCTCACCTGAGCATTATGGTGAGGCCTATCCACCTTTCGGACACTTGCTCTCATTATATTTGATTTATTGGCTTCAATTCCAATTATATTGTATTGTAGTGTATTATCTTGCATTCCGATACTATACTTAGTAAATTAGTTTGTTTCTCCTCAGATCGTTGCCACTCTTTTAATTATTTTGGGGTTCCCTGTTTCCCTTTTCTGGAGGCACAGATTTTGTGAAATCCCTCTGCCACGCTAGTCACAGAACTGGGTTGAACCAGCCCGTAAACCATTGACAGTGTGTGTTGGATTGAGGAGGAAAATAGTGTTGATAGCACACTTATGTTTTAATTGTTGCTGAGCACTGCTTCCTCTAAGTCAAAGATGTTTTGGCTTCTCAAGCTACCTTGCCAGCGTGGAGCATGGATGTGCACAGTTGTTCTTTTCTTTCCCTCTTTTTTTCTTTTTCTTTTTTTTTTTTCTTCCTTTTTTATTAAACTATCCTTAGTCCATGAGATTTCACAATTCTCTTTAAGCTGTGGGGGAGGGGCGTAAGCAAATGGCTGTGTTGTGCTGAGCTGCCTGCCAGATTAAACCATATCAGCTTTTTCAAGAAAGGACCCAAAATAAGGACTTCCTGTTGCACAAGTTGCATCAGAACCAGAGACATTGTCTACTCCTTGAGGCAGCTGAATAATGTGATGATTATTTGATAGGTATAAACCAGACTCCAGCACTAT